ACGCAACCAACCTTGTGTAAGAAACTAAACTAACCGCCTCGAATTGACGGTTAAAACAATAGGGGGTTGGTTGCGTTTTGAAATCTTAAGTAACATGCTAAACTAACTGCCCTTCGGGGGGTTAGTTAAGTGTTTCATTCAAGTGTTTTATCACTTGAGTAAGAAACTAAACTAACCCCGCCCCCCGAATGGTAGTTAAAATACTTAATACTGCGTTTTAAAATCTTGAGTAAGACACTAAACTAACCCCTTTCTTAATCGCAATATATCGAATGAGTATCAATTTACCTTGTTGGAGTTGGTACTTCAAATACTTGAAAACGTCTTCTTTCACTTTTCTGATGTTTTAGGCCAACTGTCAGTCAATATTCAAGAATGAGACGTGCTGCTTGTAGAGCAGTGATAATGCGACTGGCTTGGTACTAAGCGTTATTTGTTTTCTCGACATTGTTGTGTTGTACTCGGCATTGTTGTGTTCCACAACAATGCCGAGTATAAACAAACATAGGTTGACATTGTTGATGACGTCATTTTTTGACGACAACGAGGAATCACAAATTTTTATAATAGATAAGACTCAACAGTTTACTGTGGCAATGACTTCATGTAGCAGGAATATTTTGTATTGTGAGGACATTGATAATGCTATGAATGAATAACATTGATTCTGACAATATTTCATTCTCTTCACTCACTCTATGGTGCAGGAAATTCTCTGAAAAGTCAATTGTACCATGTCCACAAAAGCCTGCCTCCAGACTCTGTCCTGAGCAGCTGCATCCAGTTCGCTCCATTGATTCCTATCTCCCCAAGGTCCATCTTAATGTTATCCTCCCACCTATGCCTAGGTCTTCCCAGCTGTCTCCTTCCTTGTAAACACCCCTCCCCTTCCCCATGCTTGCTGCATGTTCTGCCCACCTCATCCTCCTAGATTTAATCACCCTAACAATATTAGGTGAAGAGAACGGGATGATTCTAGTGTAATTGATGATTTACCAGTTTAAGAAGCTATTGTCGTGGAAGAAAGTGTAAGTGACAATATTGATAATGAGGAAGGTGAGTGGTTTTCAGAGAGTGGCTAATTTTTCTGCATTTAAATTGGAGGACATGTCATGTAAAGTAGGGCAAACAGAACAGTTTCTGTGAAGATATGGATCTCACAATGAAGTGAGAGGAAATGTAACTGAATACCAGATGAGTTCAGGATCTTTTAATACAGCAACTAATTCAAATAATTATGAAACAAGAAGAATGCATACAATCTTGGGGCATTCAGCTTCCATTTCGGTCTGGGATGAGGTACTGAAACGCCCTATCACTGAAGATGAAAAGTTTGTTGTCTTGGCTCTTTTATACTCATGGGCATAGTACAATAGCCTATATTGAGGTCTTGTTTTTATTAAAAATTGTGTCTTAGCTTCACCTGTCTTTGGATCAGTGGACCAAGTCAAGTCAGTTTACAAATGTTTGGATTTTTCCTTTGCTCATTTTAAATTCTTTCCAGGCGGAAGCCAACACCAAGAAAAAAGGGTGGAATGCAAATATCACCCAAACCTGAGCTGTTCTGCTGTCCTTACAGGAGGCCTGCAGTGTCAGTTAGCTACGTTCTCAACAGAGGAAAGGGTACTTGGGAATTTAACAGTTTTAACAGTTTCTTACATAACTTCATCTCATTCCCAAGTGTAATTTCTTGCACACTTGTTTTTGGAAATGATTGCAGTATGTTTATGGTTTTAACAACTTGAGTCAAAAGAGAAGAGTCCTTGAGAAGCTGACAGGTGCTCAGATAGTCAAGAAATTTGCCATCTTTTATGGAACCTGAAGGTTTATTGCCTTGTTCACAAGAGCCTTATATCAATCCATATCCTGAGTCAGAATGAATTTGCTCTACAACCTCCCTCCCTATTCTGTAAGAACTACTTTAATAGTATCCTCACATTTTTTCCCAAGTATTCTGATTGGTTTCTTCCATTTAGGTTTTCCAACCAAAGTATTGTATGCATTTCCTACTTCTTCCATGCTTATTTCTTTCCACACCCATCTCATTCTTTATTTTTATTGTATCATCATTTTTGGTTAAGAGTATAAATGGCTATGGACTGGGGTTCGATCCTCGACGGGGACAGAGGACGTTTCCTCAAGCACCCCCGAGACATCAGTAAACTTCTACCAGATCAAACAAAACAACAGCCTAGAAGAAAGCCATCTTTATTGTTCGCGAGCCACGAGAGTAGACCTGACACCTTTGAGGGAGGTGGGGTACAATTTTGTGCTAATAGCGGACCGAAAAACACCCGCAGCTTATATAGGCCATACGTCGTGAGCTAATGTACAGACTGACTGATAGCACAATGTTCTTAGGTAAGGAATACATCACCAGCGCATGCGCAGAACCCATTTTCCCCCTGCTGCACAAGCATCGGCTGACAAGGCCACATCTACTCTCATGGCTCGCGGACTATACCTTCGGTCTCTGTTCTTCCTTTAATGTTAGAGACCAAGTTATCATGCCTATACAAAAGAACATATTCAATTACAGTTTTATATACGAGGGGCAGTCAAAAAGTTCCCGGAATTGTGGTATAGCACGGTAATGGTAGGACATATGACAACGCTTACCTAATCACCTTCAAAGTAGGACCCATGCGCACACACACACACACACACTTGCTTCATCGATCCTGCCATTGTTGGAAGTACCGGCGGAAGGCTTTGTTTGGAATCTTCCGGAGTTCGGCCGTGGCATTCGATTTGATGTCCTCTATGGTTGTGAAACGCGCCCCCTTGAGGCCCATTTTCAGAGTAGGGAACAGCCAGAAGTCACTCAGAGCGAGATCTGGAGAGTATGGTGGTTGGGTGATGACGGGAATACTTTTCTCGGCGAGGAATTGCCGCACAACCAGCGATGTGTTGAATGCGACGGCCGAACTCCGGAAGATTCCAAACGAAGCCTTCCGCCGGTACTTCCAACAATGGCAGGATCGATGAAGCAAGTGTGTGTGTGTGCGCATGGGTCCTACTTTGAAGGTGATTAGGTAAGCGTTGCCATATGTCCTACCATTACCGTGCTATACCACAATTCCGGGAACTTTTTGACTGCCCTACGTATTTTAATTTTTGTTTTTAGATAGGAAATGGAAAGACAAAAGATTTTGAACTGTGTGGTAGCAAGATTCCCCAGACTTAATATTTCTATAATTTTTTTATGAGTGCAATTTTGGTTGTCACCATTCCCAAATAATGTACTTGCTGCATTTTTAAGGATTTATTAGCTATCTGCATATTTTAATTCTGTTCTGTAGTCCCGGTGGTGAAACATGAGCATATACTTAATTTTCTCTGTGTTTATGTTCAGACCAACTTCCATACTAGCATCTAATAGAGTTTCTGTGTTCTATTTTATATTCATGTTATATTTCTCCCATTGAATTAAGATGATAAGCATAGACCAGAAGCTGGTCAATATTAGTCCCTCTTTGTTTTCAAATGGCATAATGGAATATGGAATGTTGCTTGTCATCACAATATCTCCATAAATACCATGAGCTGCTTATATCTTAATTGCATCCTGCTTGTGTTCCTCAATACAATACTTTTATTTTCCGTCGTTTCACAAGCTTATTGTTAAAATCACATAAAATTTCACATAAAATTGTTACATTTTTAAAATTGACGACATGTTTCGATATACAATTCTATCATCGTCAGGTCTATCAAAATTAAAATTAAAATCTGGTGTATCTGTTGCTCTGCTTATATTGATTTTACCCGTTTTTGATTTTATTACATCTCCAGGCTTCTTCCATTTAATTTTGGAGACTGCGCCTGGGTGCCTATATCGGGTTGTGTGTGATGTGCGTGTCCGTTGTTATTGAATGGCAGACAGCAGATATAAGATATAAGATATAAGATTCACTCCCTCATAAGGCATCCCAGATAACTTTGCTTATCCCACCCACCACTACTCTGCCCTTTTCCAGACAAACCTGGCACCACCCAGGGCTTCCCCCCCCCCCCACCCC